ATCTATCTATCTATCTATCTATCTATCTATCTATCTATCTATCTATCTATCTATCTATCTTCAAATTTGCTTGATAATTCATAGTTTTAGACATGCCACGTGTGAAACATCTGTCACATTCTCATTGTGGCTTCTCAGAGCTAAGCCTGGCTGTGACACTCATGAAATGTAGGAACCTCAGGCTATGGTCATGCCTCTGCATGGTCCTCTGTCAGTCTGTTAGGCCAGTGAGCTGCATTATAGGGCACTTGATGACAAAGCAGTCAGACTCTAAACACTCCTGAGTAATCGTGTTTTTGAAGACAAAGTCCCTGGATGACTGCAACAAGTGCTGGTGATCATAGATATTGACGATTTCTGGTATCTTATATATTATATTTTGATTGAAATTGATAATTTGATTGATTGAAAAACTGTCAGAAGGCCATGCAGCTGTTAATAATTAACTAAAGTAGTTTTTGCTGACAGCAATCTGGTTTTTTAACCAATAGCAAAAATGTTTTAGAAGTTAGCCAAACTCTTGTGTGCAGAATAAGTTTGCCCTGAAATTTAGGTTCAGGTCTTTGCACTACTTGATCATTCTTAGAAAGTGTGCAACAAGTCTTTCCTCCAACATGCATCTGCATCTGCATTTGCTGTTGTGTTTTAGTTGCATACATTTTGTTTTTCCCTAATCATTTAACTTCCTGCAGTTACATAAAAACTCATCAGCTGCTGTCCACATGTCAGCCTGCAGCAGTGCTTTACCTGTCTGCAGGTTTAAATCACGTTCAAACACAGTTTCATGTGTTCTTCTTTTTTCAGCTTGTTCTAGAAAAACAGAAACTCATTGAGATGCAACTTCATCTCTCCGGACACAGATACTCTGAGACTGTACGTTTACACAATTACTTCTTTAAACAAAGCAAACACTATCATCACAAATAAATAACTAAGAGAAGATCTTATTCATTGAATTCACTTCAGAGGGTGACTTCTGATTGGCCGTACCATCTTCCTCTGTTGCTGCCCTCATCTCAGCTGACCAATGAGAACAGAGTGCAGCCGTGGGGCGTGACCCATGTGGATGAGATAGTCCAACATCGTAACACAGCAACAGGTTCTGACCATCTCCTTCAAGGTAACATGCTCAACATTTTAGTAGTTTGTTTACCTCTGAACATATATATATATATATATATATCTGAGACTCCCCCCAAAAATGTTTTTTTAAAATGGATGGATGGAGGAGCTTTCACCAACCTTTATTGCTTATAAACAGGTAGTTGAGAGGATGTTTCATCATATTAAAGAGATGAATTTTTGATAAAATCATTATTTTCCAGATTTGGTTCCAAGTATTGAATGCTACAAATACAGCAACATCAGACCACCATACACATATGCTTACCTGATAAGATGGGTAACTACAGAAAAACTCAAGTTTGAACACAAATATGGTAAAAAATGAGTGCATTTCCAGTCAGCTGTGTGTTTTTGTCAGTCTATCCTAGAATCTCCAGGCAAACAGAGGACTCTCAATGAGATTTACAACTGGTTCACCACCATGTTCTTCTACTTCAGATACAACACTGCTACATGGAAGGTTTGTATGGGGTGCCATTTGTAAAGTTACTCAGTCAAAAATTACCACCAATATTTTTATTTTATTTAGCCTTTTATAAGAAAAAAAAAACAGATTTATTTTTCAAAGTCAGTTTTTCACCATATGATTGTCATTTATAAATGTCACAGTTTATAAACTAAATATTTAATTTATAAATTAAATATTTAGTTAACAAGCTAAATATTTAACTTGTGACTTAAATATTTAGTTTTGAGCTAAATATTTAGCTTGCAACTTAAATATTTAGCTAGCTACCTAATTATTTAACTTGTTAGCTAAATATTTAAGTTAAATATTTAGGTAGATAGCTAAATATTTAAGTTGCAACCTAAATATTTAGGTAGATAGCTAAATATTTAAGTTGCAAGCTAAATATTTAGCTTGTTAACTAAATTTTTAATTTGTAAGTTAAATATTTAGTTTATAAACTATYACATTTATAAATGTATGAATCATATGGTGAAAAACTGACTTTGAAAAATAAATCTGTTCTTTTATAAAAGGCTACATAAAACAAAAATATTGATGGTGATTTTTGACTGTGTAACTTTACAAACGGCACCCCATAGGTTTGCACCCACTTCTGTTTTTAACACTGCTCTCCTCTCTGCTCATTCTTTCATTTAATGAACCTGAAGATACTGCAGTGAAAGGTTTTTCTCCCCATCTTTGTTCTCAGAACGCCGTTCGTCACAACCTCAGCCTCCACAAGTGTTTCATTCGTGTGGAGGGAGGAAAAGGAGCAGTGTGGACAGTGGATGAAAGAGAATACCAGAGACGGAAGGGACAGAAATATCACAGGTACAAACATCTTCAACACTTCCACACGGGTGCTGAGATGTTTCCCTGCAGTGGTCCAAACCCAGCAGCAGTCAGAATCTGCTCATAGAGCTCACAGAAAAGTGAAAAGAGGAGAAAATAATCTGTGTTGAGTTTTAACATCACATGTGTCTTTTCAGGGACTGTCCTTTGAAGTGGTTTACTTCTTACTCCCATTACTGTCCGAAAGATCCATAGAGTCCAGCAGAACCACTTTACTCCTCTGGGTCCTGAAGTTCTGTCCACAACAAGACATCAGCAGTCAAACTGGATGTGAAGTGCTTATTTACCAAAGAAACGGAGCAGGAAACTGCAGTCATGTGAAAAAGAAAGTCCACCCTCTTTCAGTTTTATGGTTTATGTATGAGGATTTAAAGACCTGATATTTCATATCACCATCACCTTTTAATGGTAGAGTTAATTACAATCATCAAAACATTTTATATTAGATGTCATGTGATCTGTCAGTCTGTGTGTGGGATGACCCTCAGCTACCACCATCTCAAACTTAAGCTCATTGGGCCTCATGCAAGAACATGTTCGTATTCTTATCCTAAATTTCTCTTACTTTTATTCGTACGAAGGGTTCGTACGAACATGTCACGTCAGATTCAACAAACTCTTCTAT